GAAACAGTTCCTGCACACCTGGCTCAAGGGGCCCCGAAACCGAAATACCCGGTTACCATCACATGTAGATACAAGTGAGACTACGTGCCTGGTTACCGCGTACGTAGATTCAACTGAGACTACGTGCCTGGTTACCGCGTACGTAGATACAACTGAGACTACGTGCCTGGTTACCGCGTACGTAGATACAACTGAGACTACGTGCCTGGTTACCGCGTACGTAGATACAAGTGAGACTTCGTGCCTAGTTACCGCGTACGTAGATACTCCCTGAACTTTATGAATAATAAAAAACCAAACGTAATGGCTTTGCTTTGCTGCGGTATTGATTTTGCTTTTAATAATTAGAACCAAGTTAACTGAGATCTCCATGATTACATGATTAAGAAAGGCTTGACACTTGAGGACAGGTAGGGAATCAAATCATAATAATCTTCTCTTAGACAGCAAAGTAAACTTATTGACTTTGTTAGATCTGGTAGTAGTGGTGCTATCTGAGAACAGATAGATCTGATCTAGACTCTATGTGAGGCAGCGTGGTGGAATCAGGCTCTTGTCAATTTTTGGGCATGTAGAGTTATTATTGCTATCATCTTATAGCTTGTTCATTTGGATTTTTAAAAATCCATTTATCTTGAATACAAGTCGAGATATTTGCGAAAGAAGGAGGTGGGGGTCACCTGTTTTCAGAGGTCAAATTAGTGAGAAAATGGCCGCCAAAGATTAGTTATTTCCCTAGATTAAGAGTCCATGGAAACTGTAAATTTATATTTTTGTGCCTTTAATCAACATTTTCGGTGAAATCCTCAAAGGAATGTGTTTGTAAATGGACAGAAAAGGTGTTGAGCCAAGAAACAAAAATGTGATAAAAATAGCTAAGCAGGGAGAAAATTGCTGTTTTCTTCGATTTCATTATTTTGACGAGAGCCTGATTCCACCACGCTGCCTCACATATTGTAGATCTGTACATTTTGGGGGGATTTCAGTGTCAAATGAATCGAGTTGTTGCCTGAACTGTTAACAAGTTTATGTAGACCTAGCAACGTTTATTTTTCACCCTTGTGGCGACAAGATGATAGACTCCGGTTGTAAGAAAGGCTGATATAATTGCTAAATGGTTTGTTGTTTTTTGCAGGTTGATGTCGAAGACTTAAGTGGATATGAGCAGCGACATCGTGTCGAAACGTTTGTTTGTTGGAGGCCTGGCAGACGATGTGTCAGAGAAGGACATAGTGGAGAGGTTTGCTCGCTTTGGGAATGTCTCAGATCTCAGTTTGAAACACAGAAAAGATGAAGCAGGTACGGTTCATTCTAAATAATTGTAAAGTTTTTGAGTAACAACTCCAACCCCACCCTCCCACCTACCCCCAACTGTTTAATTAAAAAGAAATCTTTTAGTATTTAGCATGATAATTTTCACCCTGTTACTTGGAGAGCTAAATTAAATTTTGTTTTGTGTTTTGGATTGTGACTGTTGCCTTTGGAAGTGTGTCGTGTGTCAGGTAGAACATTTTGTTGTCGTGCAATGTGTCACGGCACTGCGACTGTTGATGGTCAAATGTAACTTTGTTTTGTTTCCACAGGTGTGCCTCAGAAATCTTTTGCTCATCTGAACATTGAAAGTGACGAAGCAAGCATAAAGAAGTGTGAGTGACTTTTTTTCGGTTGGTTTGATAGACTTTGTTATTCTTAAGAACGATCTTTCCTGTAGAATGTGTGAGACAGTCGGCAGGTGGACTCTGAGGTGGGTAGTGGAGCGGGGAGCGGAGCACATGTGGCATTGGCCGGGGTGCTAAGATGTTGTTCCCAGGGTCAAGTAATCAAGTCAGGCTATCCAGAAACTTCAGGGCCCTAAATATAGAAGTTACGGACAGTGTTTGTTCTTTGTTGAGAAGCTTTCGGAGAAAGTAAAGTGAACACTGTTGTAAGAGGGATGAGAAATGTTGGCCTGAGTGGTCGTACTTTCTGTGTCAAAGTGTGGAGGGATGGATGACTCGTCAATGTTTGGCCACCTGGAGTTATTAGTTGTTGCACTGGGGTTGTTTGCCATTATTGTATTTAATTAGACAAAAGTAAAAACTCCGTTTCTAGATGAAGAAGGTTGATTTAATAATGAAAATGATATGAGGTCTGCCCTCTCTGGCTTCACTGACAAGACTAAATCATAATGAGCATGAGTACATGTGATTTAAACAGGAAGGAGGAGTGAGTAAAGATCACTAAGATCAGACAATCTTTGTTGTGAGGGTAGATGAAATAAAAGTATAATTACAGGGACATAATTCAAGTTAATCATGGCAATATAGGGACCAACGATCCAGAATTTATTGTTGCCCTTCTATATATTGATAAAAGCAATCTAATAGTCTAACATTAGTTAGCAATGACCACGAAAATCCTTTTTGCCAGAAAGTGTTTGCAAATAGGTGCATTTTGTAGCTTTATCTTCACAGAGCATGGAACTTTTTGAATTTTTGAAATCCATCAATAAACAAAAAAGTTACTGATTCTTAAATCAATTAATTTCTGGTACACTTTTATATAATGAAAAAAGCCCAAAATATGGGAC